CCACGCGCAGAACACTGAACGAAGGATGGTTTCATCTAATATTAATCAAAGAAGCAATAATCAACAAATTTTCGATTTTGTTAAAGAACATTAACAACACATAAAGATTCTGTTTTATGTGTATATTCATGAAGATCATGAAACTTCCTCTGCCGAAGGCCAGGGCCATAAACAAGGATGATTTGATAACTAGTGCTAGCATAATACCATTTTGCTGAATCAATTTCGAGAGTGGAGATGTACTATATAAAAAAGTGCGAACGTAAGCCTTTTAAATTTGTGCTGATTTTTAAAAGCTGCTCAATGTATCCGGAAAGCTTAATATTTTGCGCACTCAGTGACATCATTGTCTCCTATAAAACGTCTTACATCTACATGATTGTATTGAATTTCACTAACTATACAAAATTGCTCAATATGTTTAATTTTACATATTATCGCTTTTGTACTAATGTGCTTATGAAAACATATCTTGTCGCAAGATTTGTTTAATTTTTTTTTAATATTTTGAATATTAAAGGTAATAGTATGTTTTACTACATGTAACACGTTAGAACTTGAACAAATGACCTTAATTTAGGCACAAGGCACGTTCTCATCATGATAGAGAACTCTTGTTTTAAGCATGAGCTTCCAATATTTCTCCATTATAAAGTAATGGCCTAGACATGGTTGAACGGATAGAATGAAGGACAAGGTGGTTCCTCACATTAGTTCCATAAGTTTGCTAAATACAAAGTCTCTAGCATCTATGGTTGAAAAGTCATTAGGAAAGTCAATTTCATGACAGAATGACAAATTTTAGGAAAAAACGATCTTTGATCTCTTGGCATAATCATCATGTCTGCATTTGCACGTATGATTGTAGAAAATCCATCCAATTGATATGAATGAAAAAGGTGATTCAGAAGATAATGAACAGTGATCAGTCTCAAAAATATCTACAAGCTATGTACATTGAGCATAAAACATGGACCCTCGGAAATTTCAGAGGTGGATCAGGTGCCTAGGAGGAAAACATCCCTGTTGACGGTCATACCCGCCGTGAGCCCTACGTATTGACCAGGTAGACGGAACATTCCGTAGTCAACTTAAGTATAAAAACGAAGGCCTAACAATAGGTATGAAACCCTTCATCCAAACCAGAAGTCTCTGATCTGGTTTGTACATATAAGTAGCACTTGGACTTGAAACTCTGCAACAGCAATAAATAGAATAATTATCCTTGGTTTAGTCTCTTTTTGTGGCAAGATTTATTGCAATCAGACTAAAACTGTAGGAATAGCCTTTTCAAAGAATTTTACAGAAATTTCCATTTTAGTAACCATGGCAACATCATTCAGCAAAATCAAAAACAATAAAGAAAATTATGTATCTCAGTGTAGTCTACTTGTGTGCAAAGTTACATTGAAAGCAGACCAAAACTGTAGGAGGAGTAGCATTTTTGATTTTGAAAGTATTTCAAGAAAATTTCTATTTTAATAACTATGGCAATACCATTCGACGCAATCAAAAGCTGATGGAGGGAATTATGTATCTTACTGTAGTTTACTTGTTTGCCATTTATACTGAAATAAAACCAAAACTATAGGAGGAGTAACATTTTAAAAGTTTTTCACAGAAATTTCTATTTTTAGTAACCATGGCAACACCGTTCAGCGAAATCAAAACCCGATAATTATACAGAATTATGTTTATTAGTGCAGTCTACTTGTGTGCCAAGTTATATTGAAAACAAACTGTAGGAGGAGTAGGGTTTTGAAAGTATTTCACAGAAATTCCTATTTTTAGTAACTTGGCAACACCAAAACCGATATACAGAATTATGTATCGTAGTGTAGTCTACTTGTGGGCCAAGTAATACTGAAATCAGGTCAAAACTGTAGAAGGAGTAGCGTTTTGAAAGTATTTCTCAGAAATCTATTTTTAGTAACCATGGCAACACCGTTCATTGAAATCAAAAACCGATATACAGAATTGTGTATCTTAGTGTAATCTACTTATGTACCAGGTTATATTGAAATCAAATAATAAATTGATGGCCAGATCGATATGTAAAAGCAATGCATCCCTAGATACACCACACCATCTTTACAAGTTTGGTCTAAGTGTGCGGCTTGCTCGAATAACAGACCTTATTATGGATGCAATTATATTATACATCTAGTCCAATCAACTACTGCTTGGCGTATCGGAGGACTTTTCCCCTCCCACTTTTTTCCAAGAAGAATCTCTTGCTGTTAATGATTGCTTTTTTAATTCAATTTTTGATGTACAGTATGGTCAAACATTCCTATTGTCCAAAACAATATGTGCATGTATTGAAATGAGAACGAAATTGGAACTGTACACAATTACCCCCCCCCCCCCCTTCTATTTCGAAAAAGACTACATATGTCTGTTAATAATTGTAATCCTCTTTTCTTTAAATGTACATATATATTACTTACTGGATAGAATTTTAGCCTTTTTCATGTTCGGATCTACAACCTTTTTTTCCCAAAAGGGAAACATCATTCTTTCGTGGCTGGGGGGGGGGGGGTCTCTTCTGTCTGTATAAATTAAATAATTCAGAAAATCCAAAGGGGAATCGGACATCCTCTCCATTCAAGATCCGACGGTTTAAGTATTGCGTGTTAATTGCATTTTCTGTAGCTAGAGCGTACCTAAATATTATACTTAAATTTTTATCTAGATATTATTTAGGTCTAAGTATACATGTAGGCCACAAAAAACCCAAAAGACTCTAGCTTTGGAAAGGTTTTAAAGTACTGATAGTAAAAGTTCTTTCATTTAATTTAAAATTAAATTTTCGTTTCCTTTGTATAACTTTCTTTTTGATTTTGTATACTGGTGCCTTTTGAAGAATAGTGTTTTACATGCTGTTTGGGATATCGCTGTTTTAGATATATTTTTTAGCCCTGTGCAGCCATAAGTATGTTAATTTTCTCTTTCTTGATTGAAAAGAATTTATTTTTCAAATAGCAGCCGATGCATTATTTTCAGTGTGTAGCCGATGTATACATACCAAGATTCTGATAGCAACCGTAACTTAAGAAGATCGTGTTTTGTCCAAAAATCTCTTTCAAAATACACTTTTTAAATAATTTTTAGTATACCTACGTATTATTATAGATTGACACATCTTCACATACCAAAATGAACACAATCTAACCTATATATGATGAAAAGAAGCATGAAAACTTGGAATATACTGACTTGAGAATGGGTACAGGCTTCGGAAATTTTACTGTATCTAAATTTTTAGAAGGTTGTTCTACAAAATACATCTGGCATCATTTAAAGAAATTCCTTACTTGTTCCGTGCACAAAGATTTACCTGAGACTTAATCGAATTGGGTCACTTTTTGACAGTTTTGCGACTTGTTCCAATTTCTCCAACATTTTTATTTCAGCTAGCGGCCGTACAAATTTCTAATAGAAACATTTAACGCTTTTTTGTTCTGACAGCAACCGTTTAGGTACTACACCGTGATGTAACAAAGATTTTGTGTCTCGTTAAATTTTATTCAGTTGTACAAGTGGAGTTGCGGAAAAGAGATGGGTACCCCAAAGCATAACATACAGACGTGGAATGGAAATATATAGGAATAAATGCGATGCAAAAATAATCACCGCAAAGATTTTCAATTCAGGGCCATAATTAGATACATGTTTGTATGTATACAGCTTGCAGATTTGCAAAGAGATGAAGATGTAAGTTAAAGCCTCTCTACTTCTCAAATGAGATTAATTCATGTCATGGTTCGCACTCCGGTGGAGCCATTCTATGGCTTTTTTCATGGAAATTTTTTGGATATTATTTTGTTAAAACTCGAGGAATTTTAAGCGTTTCCATGGTCCTCTAAAGCTTTTACAAGCGCAAGAAAATTGCAACGAAATTCGATGTTATGAACAAAATAGTTGAAATATTTATTTACCAGCCACCACAAATCTCTACTTTTGTGATGTCTTCAAACATTTTCACACGAAATGCTCTTAGGTGAGTCATTTTATATCGTTTGTCTTTATATAATCACCCTGTCTTTATACGCAGGGTAGGGAGTTGATATCAATTGTATAATTTTCCCGATTTTGAAACAAAATTAAGAGTTAACAAAAGATATCTACATACACATACAAATGAATTGACTTATATATCTTTTAACACGTAATTCTGTAAACGATACATGAAAGGATTGTGTTCATAGTGCATACTTCTTTTGTGGCTTTTCTATTTAATTTTATCTCAAAGGCCGGGGTTCTTGCGTCAGCTACATGAATAATCTCACTGAAGTCGAATTATCGAAAACCAGTCTTCTTCTTTCTCTTTCTTTTTTTTTTCTTCTATGCAAGCGATGATGGACACTTGTCCAGCTGACCAGATTTTCTCACTAGACTCTACAGACATGAACCATCACTCGGAAGTCGTAAAAGCCTTTTCTGACTTTCTCTCCCATGTCGTTCGCTTATTTGTGGTTAAATTTATAGCTTTGAGTACCAACTTAGACACAGTGATGACAAAATAGATTTATTTTGTAGTAATAAATGTCGGAGAAGATTAACAAGTGTTTTAAAACAGCAGTATACAACAGGTTTTGTTTTAATTTTTGGAAAGAACGTTGTTCATCATAAAATGCAATAAAACATTTTTAACAAGTAAAAACAATTTAAAATTATTTTAAATTCAAAATAGGAAGTGTTAAAAAGATTGCATTAAAAAAATTGTCAGGTCTTTAATAAACAGGAATGGCAATGTAATGTTATTATTAATCAAGCAATTTTTTTTTTTGAGTTATGATAAAAAATGGCGATTTTTGTCCAATTTATCTCAAAAAAGAGAAATCCAGCCGTATATGTACAATGTAAAGCATGGGGAAAAAATCAATAAAAACACTTAAAAGTAATTTCAATTTTCGTAGTGAGGATTTTAAAGAAGAGAATAAAACAATAACATAACACATACACCTGTACAGTTGAAATGCACCGTAACAAATTGATTTGTATTATATAGTTAATTTATAACAGCAGGATAAACTAATAGTAGACAAAACGGGTAAAGAATATATACAGTTGTACAAAGGTAATAAACGAACAAAACGTGGATTAATAAATACATCGATTGTGTGTATTCTTGATATGGAACATTTTAGATATAAAAATTATATCACAAAATCAAACACTCCTCTGTCATGTTGCTCCATTTTATTTTTTTTTTTCAACATCATAATTGGCTCTTTATTAGAGAGGTTGATAGGTGGGCGAAAGAGCATTCATGACCTGCAACAGTCTGATCAAGTAAATAATTGCAAGTACTAATGACCCAAAAGAGCCGAGAGCCGACAGGAACAATGAGTAAGGGAATCCGTATGTCTTCGTCTGCTCTGTTGCGATTGGCACCAAAGTCGAAGCGATTATAGTCCATATTAGCGAGGCTGAAATAAAATTGGAGGAATTCTTGACAATTGAAATTTATATTACACAATTTCAAAATTTAAGGTTAAGTAAGTTCCTTAAAAAAACCCATCACATTCTTTTCTGCTGAGGAATCATTCTTACTGAGTATTTGCACGTAGGCATGGGTCCATACGTGATTTTGTTAAAAAAAGTACTGTTATCTGTAAATGAACTTGTGATTTCTGACGATAGAAAGAGAGTAACATGTTGAATAATGTAAAGCGAGTTTATCTCCATATTGCACATTTTGTCGACGGGCTGGGAACTTTACACATTCACTTTATCATTTATTACCAACAGTTTATCATAATTATTTCTAACGTTTTCTGATAAACAAACTAAAGTTTTATCAACCATGAACGTGAATCATATATACCCCCGACCGAGAAAAGGTAAAAGCGTGCGTAATCCATCTTCAATTGCATCCTGTGTCCATATATCAAATTTCGGAAGGATGAGAGATTACCATAAATCAAATTGCTCGATTAACAGAATACACTTTGTACGTTTATATTTCAATGGGATTTTCTTGACGCGTACGTGTATTAACATTTTCATCTTTCGTTGAAAAGAAGTTTTGTGCGCCTTTAATTATAAGTACGAACAATATGAGAGATTTGATGTTAGAAGTGAAAGGAAAATACAGAATGTATGTTGACAAATCACATTTCACTAATTCGATGTTGTGTACAGAATATTTGTTTACTTGAGTGCAGTATATACGATGTCGCTATGAAGCTTGATTTATGAGGTACAGTTCATCTAGTTTAAAATTACACTTTGGAGCAAGTCTTAAAGAATGAAATATATTTTGCAACTTTAAGTCTTTTCGTTTTATTTCTCTCATTCAGATATCCAAAAATTATTTCATACTGAATCTTTTTTACATAAAATTTTCGTAATATTCACCACAAGTCCACAAGATGAAAAAAAAAATAAAAGATCACAATCCACATAAAAGTCAGTATAAACAGTTTGCACCTTTACAAATATTAATTAAAATACATTGAATTACTGTTGGATTAATCACTTATCTTTAGAAACATATCACATATTCTGTACGATGTTTCCGCTATCTCATCAAAGCAATTGCTAAAAAATGCCTCCAATTGTTTGACATTCACACCGATTGTCATGAATATTTCATTTCGGATCTTTAGAACTTAGTGGTGGTATGCCAATAGAATAAAATTTGGAAAGTTTGATTGATATTTATTAATTTTCTTGCATCGTCAATAATACTTGGAAACCACAATTGTCTTTTTATCAAACACTTAACGTTGTTTAGAATGGATTTAATGGTAATAAAAATGCAATTTTCATTAAAGAAACGTTTCTCTGATGTTTTTATTGTCTATGCAACTTCTTATTCTTAAAGACAATATAATTGTGCTAAAAAATATTTGAAAAATCAATGTGACACAAAAGAAGTTTACCTGAAACAAAGGTGAACAGAATGGATACAAGAGAGAGAACTGGTCGCTGGTATTTCACGCATATGTTGATGAGAAGAAGAACACATGCAAACAAGGCTGAAGCCACAGACAATGTCGCTATCACAATCTCTCGCACTTGGTCAGCATATACCATATCTAGGGTGCGAATCATTTCAACAATTAATTCGAAATAGAATGATAATTGGTTGATACAATGAAAACTTTTTTCCCTTTAAAAATCACATGTAAATTCAATTTTGTTTTCCAAAATAAAATATCAAAACTAACTTCCATATCATTCATCATATTTTAAACTTTTACTGAAAACTAAACTTTGACTTTTCTGACGTTGAAAAAAGAGTAGACACCTATATTCAAATTTCTTAACTGAACCAATTTACAATAGTGGATAACATTCACATTTTATCAATAAAAACCTTCAATTTACAAATTTACAAATGTACTTCCTAGTGATTGATATAAACAATTGTAATGTACATGTTTTATTATCAAATACATGTACATACCCCCTGCCGCTGTTTTATACTCTTTGTGAATTTCCTGATAAGTTTTTGCCTCGCATTCACCACCATCTCGACATGAAATACAATACCACAGTCCATTGGATTCGTAAATTTCTCCATTGTAATCGCTAACTACCCAGGCCGGGGTAGCAAACCCTGTTATTTGTAGTAACGTGCATACCACATAACAGAGTCCGAGAATAATTGTCACACTTCGTGAAAACATGCTGGTTATTTAAATTTAATCACTTAATCCAACAACCTAACGCACAACATCACACCATCCTCCAGTGAGTGTTATAACAAGACTGCACGTCGGCGCACTGTAGACCTAGTGTTGTTTTCCTTGACTAAAAATGGCTTCCGTTCCGATTCACCTGAGCGTTATGTCAATCCAGGTCAAATCTTATTTCCAGTATAATCCCAGCGCCTCACCTGTTTAACGTAAATCAAAGTGACGAAAAGCAAGAGATTGTACGTTAATTTGTACACACCAATGGTTGTAGAGGGAAAAGAATTATTTTGTTTAATCTCTTTTCAAATAGCTGTTGATGTATCCACCTGTGCTGTATGTTATGATGAAAGAAAGCGCACACAGGCGGATCAAAGCTTTTTTTTTTACATAGAGTAAACAAGTAAATGAAAAACATTAATGTTTGTTTTAATTCGTTATTTCTATTTTTTGTAAAAGTCTGTACAAACAATTAGACTCTCTAGAAAAATTAAATTCATGATTTCCATTAAGAATTTTTATTTTAGAATTTATTTTATCATAATTTTTTTTCTTTGACCATGGAGATACAAATTTGTGTTTGAAACATCATATTATTGTTATCTTCATTTTGCTTTAGCTGTGTGATATTTTATAAAGTTATGAGTAGATCTGTTGAATACTAACCACAATTGTTCTTTGTTTCAAATAGGATTACCCTAAAGTGACGCAACAAACACTCGGTTCATTCATTTTTATTGCAAACGACCGTCTCAGGAAAACACGATTCCCAGATTATCTTTTTTGTTTGAGAAGTGTGAATTAATTTTTTTTTTGTATTTAAAGATGCATTTATTCTTATTTAGCATGTCTGAAAATTGAACTGATAACAGAAGTTGTTCGGGCTCTAAATTATGATAATTAATATGTTTTAATACTTTTACATATTGAAAATAAAACAAAACGACATGCAACTTTATCACACTGTATTTGTTTTACGTGAAACTAAAATATTTTACAATTTCGAACGCAGAATAATTAAATCACAATTTATAAGTACATCTACTGAGACTAAATATCAATTGAAATAAAACTCCAAATGCCAATTAGCACCGTTTAATGGTTTTCTGCTATATGGGACACAGCATGTTTCCAATGAACCAGCATCCACACTGAGTATGGAAAACAAACGTCTAGAGGAAAGTATTTTTATGGAGTTTCTGGTTTAGCTCATGAAAACTTGACATCGACTCAGACATATTAACAAACTAATCCTGAAAAAGTCAGTCTTGGATGATTGATAATTTATGATGTCAGTAGTAAATGTAAAATTCCATACATGTACTTTAGAAACGAAACTTATATTCGAAGTTTCATGAGATTATTATCAATGATTTTAACAAATTCTTGTACTTTCCTTTTAGATAAATAAAAAATGAAATCAACACTTTTAAGTTTTAAAATACAAAGTATAGCAAATGTTGCCATACACCTTAAATTTTTGGCCAGATACCTCTTGACCCATTATACATGTATCTTGATATATGAAATGAATGATAAATTTGGCATATTTAAGCCACCATCCTCATATCTCCCAATAAGTGTATATCTTTTAACTTTTCTGTTTTGTATCCCAAAATGAATTTGAAAAATAGAATTTTCTAACCATACTGCCTGTAATTTGGATATACATGTATTAAGTTTCAATCCCGAAACACTGCCAAACTTATCAATAACACTTATTGATTCTCTAAGAGAGGATTCACTTCCATCTAGTAGTAAATATGAATCATCTGCATATTGCCCTCTCTTTCCGCTTGATAATAATACCTTAGATATTTACATTTTCCTTGAGTGAAATTGCTAGTAATTTGACTGTGATGTTAAACAGAAATGGAGCCAAATGATTTCCTTTTATGGGGTGTTGCTAAAACGCGGAGCGGAAAACGGAAAATTTGATGTCTCGTTTTCACTAGGCACAGGTATAATTCAGACATAGTAAACAATTATATCCTTATCTAATACCTGTAGTTCATTTAAGAAATGAATTTTATTTTGAAGATTCATGAGGACATGAACTAGGACGCTTCACGCCGGCCTATTTCCTGAAGCGCGTTAGCGCTTCATGATAAATATGCCGACATGAAGCGTTGTAGTTCATGTACCTCATGAATCTTGAAATCTGTGAGGATTTTTTTTCTTCTTCAAGAATTTCCATAACTTCTACCTCTTTTGTACTATGAGTTTCTTGAAAATATATAATAGAAACATTCTTATATCTTACCCAGTTAAGTACATCCCTGCGTTTTTGACAATTTCATGAAAAAACTCTAACATTTATACTTAAAATATTTAAGCTTTCATACTTTGACATGTATAGTTATAGTTCTTTACATTCTAAATCAAATGAGTACTGATAAATATTTATATGCTTTGAGAAAAGCAGATAAAACAGTGCGACATTTAACTCCGGACACGACATTTGTCCGGACTTTCGCCAACCACTTTTCCAAAGATACATGGAAACCATTTATGTCATCTGGTGGGATTTTTTTAATCGCACAACATGGACTAACCTTTACACCTGAATATCTTCTAGATTAAAAGATATTACACCTGCAATCAAGAAATCCCATGGGATTATGGTGGGATTTTCTCTCCTAACTAATATCCCACCATTATTCTGTGGGAGAAAAATGAGTTCTGTGGGATTTTTTCTCCTATAGAAGCAAAACTCCCATTTTTAACCTTACATGGGATTTTTTATCCCATAATTTGTGAAATAGGACAAGAAGTTCTATAATTGTCACTAATAGGATTAAAAGTTCTCTAACAAAATGATTTATAGAATATTTTATCCTACAGGAGAATGGAAATTGTTTTTATCTCTTTAATGTACAGGGAAAAACAGTCCATCTTCTTTTAATCTAATACAGTCAAGGGTCAAAATTATTTTTGAAAGCTTTTTGCCATATAATTCATTGCAAACTTAACATTTTAAAATCATTACTTTAATATTTCTACTCTAGCTTTATATCACTATAAAAAAAAAACTTTACTGTCATATTATATACATGCTGTGGTCTAGATATAAAATTGTTATTCTTTACTTTTATCAGTGTTTATCATAAACCTTAAATAGACTTCTGCATGGATCTATCTTGAAATGATTTCATAATGAATGGTAACTAAAATATTTTTGTAAATATCATTGAAATAGGTTTGTAATGGGTTATAATTATAAGTGCTGAAATACTTCCGACCTTTAAATGTATTTTATGAAACCACCTTCTCGGGTGCTCCTTATACATAGGAGGGAATTCCATAACTGAACTGAACTAAAGCACCTTTCTTTTTGACTTATTAATTGCGCTGAGGTGATTGTGGACTAATTCAAGCATTACGTATTAAACCAATATCTCAATAAAATGAATATAAATGAGACTAAATTGATTTAAAAGTACGTGAATTAATCCTTTCAGCAGACTGCATCTTTCCCTGTTCTTGCATCACAGTTGCAACAATGCATTTACAGAATGTGTAATTTTACTACGAATACAAAGCGCAGTGGAGATCTTGATCGGTTGATTGGGTGGATTCGTCTCGACTATGTGGATTCACTCCGGGCGTTTCGTTTCATTCTAAATAAAGTATTCAATTGTTCTATAACGACTATATTTTTCTACTTTAAATGAATGTTGAATTATTTTTAATCATGGTAGCGTTTTCACTCGGAGAGCGTTATCAAATAAAAGTACTCAGCCAAGTGAATTTGCAGGAAATAAAAGGAGAAAACTTGTAGTCCACTCAGGTTTCACAGACGAATTTAGGGGTCAAATAAATTCATATGTTATATGCATGCAGGTATCTGACTTTAAAAACTTAATTTCTATTTTTGAATAGTAATTATGACTGTATTTATAAGGCAGATAAAGCTCTCCCTTTTCAAATAATTTATTTAAATTTTAAAACCTGGTCTTGAGTAGAAAAAAAGTCTCCCATTGGTCATTTTCTTAATGTTTCAAAAAATATACACAAATTCATTTATTAGGTTTGATTTACTAAGTGAATGCTATGACAAAAAAATCTATTCCAAACTGGCTAAATTTCATTGAAAAGTACAAAAAGTTATGGTAATTTAATTAAGTGAACACACCAATTCCTATCGATGGAGTATACCATGATGATGGATTCTCCCTATGAAAATTTCAGTCCTCTTACAATTTATCAATTGACATTTAGAAAGTACATGCTATTGCAAGCAAAATAATATCAAACTGGCAAAATTTCATTGAGAAATAAAAAAGTTATGGCCATTCAAGAGAACACACCAGTACGATTGACAGAGTATAATATGATGATGGATTCTCCCTATGAAAATTTCAGTCCTCTTACAATTTATCATTTTACATTTAGAAAGTACATGCTATTGCAAGCAAAATAATATCAAATTGGCAAAATTTCATTGAGAAATAAAAAAGTTATGGCCATTCAAGAGAACACACCAGTACGATTGACAGAGTATAATATGATGATGGATTCTCCCTATGAAAATTTCAGTCCTCTTACAATTTATCATTTTACATTTAGAAAGTACATGCTATTGCAAGCAAAATAATATCAAATTGGCAAAATTTCATTGAGAAATAAAAAAGTTATGGCCATTCAAGAGAACACACCAGTACGATTGACAGAGTATAATATGATGATGGATTCTCCCTATGAAAATTTCAGTCCTCTTACAATTTATCATTTTACATTTAGAAAGTACATGCTATTGCAAGCAAAATAATATCATACTGGCAAAATTTCATTCAGAAATAAAAAAGTTATGGCCATTCAAGAGAACACACCAGTACGATTGACGGAGTATAATATGATGATGGATTCTCCCTATGAAAATTTCAGTCCTTTTACAATTTATCATTTTACATTTAGAAAGTACATGCTATTGCAAGCAAAATAATATCAAATTGGCAAAATTTCATTGAGAAATAAAAAAAGTTATATATAGCCATTTAAGAGAACACACCAGTATGATTAGGTGAGTTTAATTAACATGGCAAATGTTCCCTATGAAAATTGAAGTCTTAATTTTTACAATATCAGAATTTCTACTCTTTACTATATCAGTATAACTTTAAATTTTGGGTCATTTTTAAATTTAAAGGATTGTAATTATATTGATAATTTTTTCAAGGAATGAATCAAAGAGCTGAGATGTATACCTATATAGTTTTTCTTCATACAAAAACTTACGATGAAATATGGCACAGTTAGATATTCTTCATTTAATTTATACACT